ATGACAGATAAAGTAGCAAACATATTATCTAAGAAAATCAGAGGATAACATTTGGAATCGGCCACCAACAGAAAGGTGTGTGCCTTCAGTGTTACATGGACCACAGTTTGAAAATGATCTATAGTCTGTATTATATTCTTCAGTATCAGTTAAATAAATATGGCTCTTTTTTTTACTGCTCTGAGAGAAACTCGCCTTCTTTTAGTATCGACCAAATCTTCACCACTTCCTGTCACTCGCAACAAGATTAACTGTGTGGTTTTTCTCGATAATGAGATGAGTATCTTTCATGTTGTAACATAGTAGGTTTTATTTGGAGGAAAAAGTAACACTTCTAATTTGCAAAACTACTTTTTTAAGACTCAATAAAGACTTTTAATATAATCATGTAACTCTAGCTTTGTTCTAACATTGTTTAAGGTGACCTCATGGTGTGGAAATTACACTGCAGTTTAATTACCTCCAGTCCCTTTGTTGTTGTTAACTAAAGTTTCTGATATGTGGAACTCAGTTTCCAATCCTGGCTGCGTCAGAAATTGCACCTTGCCTGAGAGTTTAAAATGCAGAGGTGTGTAATACCACAGAGTTTCCAGCTACGTTGACTTTTTCCAGACTTTGGTCACTGACTTTATTTCCTTTAAGAGTTTGTAGCATTTAAGATGCAATCATGTTTTGCACAAAACGGGTTCCTGAACGTCAGGTGAAGGAAAATCATGTATGATCCATCCATGCACCCTGGACAGGTCGCCAGTCTGTCCCAGCAGGGCAGTGCCCTGCAGCAGGAAGCTCCTGGGTTTGATTTCCCAGCCCAGGATCTTTCTGCGTGTAGTTTGCATGTTCTCCCCAAGCATGCATGGGTTTTCTCTGGGTACCCCTTCAGTCCAAAGCCATGGCTGTTAGATTTATTTGTATCTCTAATTTGTGTGTCTTGTGCATGGTTGTATGTCTCTCTGATGTATGTTTTATATAAATAAAAAAAGAAATGTACGGCTAACAACTGATTTTATGTAAAAAAAAAATTATCTGATCCTAAAGAAAAAAGTGTTATGTTCAAATATCGGTATTTAAAATACTAAAATAGAAATTAAAAACCAAAAAGTAGCAAATTCATGCAAAATAAAAACTTTTCAAATACATTTAACAGGAAACTTATGAAATCAATACTTTCAGCTGTCACTTAAAGCAGCCAAATATTTTATTCGAGTTAGAGTAGCGATATGTCTGCTAATATTTTTCTAATAATAGTAAAAAGTAAAGTGCAGTAAAACTACTTCTGGTTGTGCTCTGTACATGAACTTAAAAAATATGTTGAAACTTTTCTTAAGATGTTTGCTTTTAAAGTTCTACCTCTGCTCTGCCGTTTTTTGAAAATTACCTAGAGCTCCCTCTGGTGGTTGTTTTTGGGATTTTATTTTGGTTACCGTTCCAGAAGCACGATCCGTTACGCATCCAGATATACATCCGGGTCGCCCTGGATTTTATTTTGTTAAAAATACCTAAATTATGTTTTTCCCTCCCCTAAAATAGTAAAGCGTGATAAAATATATGCCTTAAAATCCCTTCTTTTTTATCACTCGTCTCTGCCCGATCTGCACTGGAAATGGGATCCTACGCAACTTTTTTTCATTTAAAACTTTTTAAGTTTAATGTTTTTCTTTCAAGTTAACCTTATGGTATATACTGCGTAATTTAAAGACAGAAACAACTAAAATGCAGACAAACATGGTTTAATCATATTTTGCCGGACTGCATTGAGCATGTCCCATGATGACGTCAGAGGAACAGTTTAATGTATAAAATGTAAAAAGCATCAAAATTGTTTGACAAAATTAATAAAAAATTTTTTAAAGATGTGTATTAGCATTCTTTAGTGAGTTATGGATAGAAAAAAGTGATTTTAATAAAAATAATTACATTATTTATGGACTGGATGCAGTGGTGTCAAAAGTACACACATTTGTTACTGAAGTAGAAGTATAGATACTGCAGTTTAAAAACACTCTGGAAAAAGTTGTAGTATCAACCCGACCTCTTTAATCAAGTAAAAGTGAAAAAGTATGTGCTCCAAAAACTGGTTAAAGTATAAAAGTATAAAGTAACCTTTGAAAAACAGCCAGATGCCACTACTGAAAGCTCTATTTTTTTACAGTTTTGAAAAATTGATGTGCACATTATATGAAATAAATATTTATAAATATTAAACTGAAGCCGAGAGTAACGAGTAACGTTTGTTTTAAAAATGTAAGGAATAGAAAGTACAGATACTTGTGTGAAAATGTAATGAGTAGAAGTCAGAAGTAGGAAGAAAAATAAGTAATGGGAGTAAAGTATAGATACCTAAAAAGTGTACTTAGGTAAAGTAACAAAGTATTTGTACTTTGTTATTTGACACCTCTGCCCGGATGTATATCACGCGTACGCAGGTTGGATCGTGCTTCCGGGACGGATCGGGTTGTAACAATACTTCAAAGGGAACTAGAGGAAATGACAGATCCAAGAAGGCAGAATGTAATGCCAGAGCATTTCTATGTAAACCTGATCTAGCTCGATATGTTGTTGTGTTTGGGTGGGTTTTATCCTTTTATGATGGTCAAAGAGAAGGCAATGGTCAGAGGCCATTCTTCAATAAACAAGCAAGAAACCAAAGAAGACAACTCTATTTACTGGAACAATGTTATCTGGCTGCCTAGCTGATGAAGAACAGCAAACTCATGGCGAGGACAGAATAAACTCAGTTTGTTTCCCTTTATGTCAATTCAGTTTCAATACAGTCTCTTCATATGATACCATTTAACAATACATGTCATCTCAAGGGACAACAGGAGACAATTCAATCAGATCATCTAGTCAGACTGGTTAAATGTTTTCTATATAAGGGAAATCAGTTGATTGAATCAAGTCATTGACTTGATTCAATCTTCCAGACTGAGCATGAGGTGACAGTAGAAAACCACTTCTGCCTTCTGTTGGGAAATGTAACTGTAAGCTAGATCTGTTGGTGTCTCTGTCTAAAAACAAAAACACTTAAGCAGATGGGTGCTAAGGCAGTTTTCATGTGAAGGGGATGAAAGAGAGCACATGAAGTTAGTCACAGTAAAAGCTGAGCCCAAAGGAGGGAAACAGGATGAAGCACTGAAAAACAAGCCAAGCTCCAACATCTATAAACAAAGGTGTTAATGGTGACAGCACAGCTGAGATTTCTCTCCAGGATGGAGTCACAGCCAAACAGGAACAGACCAGATGAAGCTACCATGATGAGAAAATGCAGAGAGATCACAAAGTTATGGATTGAGCCTAACAAATACTGCAGAATGGAGATAGATAGAGATAGAATGAAGCAGAATGAGGAAAAGTGGTCCCTATGTCCTCCAGCATCCTAAGCCTATAGCAGCATTAACTACAGAGATATACACTCTAACTATAAGCTTTGTCAAAACTTTAAGTTTTAAATCTAGTCTTAAAAGTAGACAGGTGTCTGCCTAAAGGACTGAAACTGGTAGTGGTTCCAAAGGAAAATATCTGCTTTTTATCATACTTTTATACATTATAGGAACCACTTCAGGGCTGCTGAGTGGCACACTGGGAAGCAATGCTGCCTTGCAGCAAGAAGGTTCTGGGTTGGATTCCCGGCATGGGGTCTTTCTGCATGTTCTCCCTGTGCATACGCTTCCTCCCACAGTCCAAAAACATGACTGTCAGGGTATTTGCCTTCTCTAAATTCTCCTTAGGTGTGAGCGTGAATGGTTGTTTGTCCTCTGTGTCTCTGTGTTGCCCTGTGATGGACTACAGACCTGTCCAGGGTGGATGGATGGATGGATGGATGGATGGATGGATGGATGGATGGATGGATGGATGGATGGATGGATGGATGGATCACTACAAAATATGCTTGTGGTTTACCTCTAACTCTCCACTCTTCCTTTCAGGCAGATTTGTGAATTCATCTGGACCTGAGCTGTGAATTTCTGCAGCTCCTCTAACGTCATTTTGGGCCTTTTGGCTGCTTTAATGCTCCCCTTGCCTGAGTGCGTTTGGGGGTTTGCATTAAAATCTAAATCATTTAAGTTTCAGATGGTTTTAATTGCAGTGCAAAAAGAACATAAGAAACTCTGACAGGTGAGTCTCTTAAACCACAGGATTTTCCTTTTTTCTCCAGAGTTTCCTATCTTTGTGGCTTTGCAAAAGACGCAAAAAGTCACATTATGGAAATTTTCCCCGCCTTGTTTGTCTCAGCGTATTTAATCACCAAAAAAATGTGTCTTAAGTGTTAACCACAAAACTTTCACCCTCACGTCACACTTTTTTTTTTTTGAGTCTGTGACACTATATCATTTAAAATACTTTGATTAACTCCAAAAATAACAGCAGGTAATACGACTGGAACATCTATTTTACTCGTCAACTTGCAAAAAAGAAAAAACTGTTTCTTTCTGGGATTCAAACTGTGAAATAAACTGCATATGACTTTATCTAAACATCTGCAGGAAATGCAAGAAGTCAGCTGTGGGTTTGTAGTCAGCCTCTCGATCGTAGCTCTACCTGATGAGAGCAAACAGTAGCCACATTAAAGCACACAAAGTCATAACGTTGTTTTGTTTTTAAAAAAAAAAAAAAAGCCATGAATCATTTTAAAAATCTACGCTGCTTGAAGTTTTAGCCTTGAAAACATCAAAGTTGCAAAATTTCAGAACTAAATCTGACAAATTTGGAGAACCTGCTTAAATCGAATCGATTTTCCTTCAATGTTTTCCTTTGAGGAGATTTGTTTCAATTTAAGCTGAATTATACTGGATATGCAGCTCATCAAACATTAGAAGTTATCTATCTCATTCTTTTTTTAACATCCTAAACACCTGTCATTTTGACAGGGGGAACAGATCTACAGCTGTTTTCATAAACTGACCTGTTTATGATGATGGGGTTTTTCCACTCGTCAAAGAGGCAGAATTGTGGTTTTCAAAGGCTACGATCTTTGGGTTTCTAAAAGGAAGTGAGTTCATAATAAATTCTCAGGAGAAAGTCGGTCTGATCATTGCAATCATTGCAGCAACTAAACACCAAAGCTCAATGGATCACTTTGATTTGGATGCTCTGGAGAGGTAAGCAGAATATTTTATATAAAACTTGTCATCTGCATTTATCCACACAAAAAGAGGCTATAATGTAGATGAAATAAATTAAATGAAAATTATTTTTTTTTAATTAAATCGAAAAGTTAAAAAAAACAGAAAAAGCTATAGGATATAATACAAAACTTTAAGCATACCTAACATTATAAGAAACAATGAAAAGTCATCAAGATAAGGTTCTTTTTTTTTGTCCTGTCTGGCAATGTGGCAATAAGAATAATTGTCTTGATGCCAAAAAGAGCCCAACAGATTTTACTTTCTCAAGCGGCCATAGTTATATACTGGATTTATGCATATAAATAGCTTTATTATAATTCATGCAGGGAGTTTACAGATTATACGGACACAGCAATGTAAGTAGAGAAAGAACGGAAAAACAGGTAAAAAAGGAGAAAAGATTAAAGAAAGGAGATAAAAGAGGAGATAACGAAAAAACGTCTTCAGTATGCTTCATCACTTGCAAAGAGATGAAAAATACAATTAGGTAACACCTTGATACTGTCACTGAAGTATAATTAGTATAGTATATAAGATTAGGTTCTTAAAATTTAAAAATAAATAAAACAAAACTATATTTTTTTAAATTCGAAGTTAGCACAGAAATCTTACTAAAAAGATGAAAAGTACGTCTTCCTTTTAAATACATTGGAAACAGAGCCTCTCCTGCCTTTTTGTATCTTAGAAAAATAAATGAGTTCAATTTAGGCTGCTGAGTGGACCAGTGGTTAGCACTGCCGCCTTGCAGCAAGAAGGTTCTGGGTTTGATTCCCAGATGAAGCTACTATGATGAGAAAATGCAGACAGATCACAAAGTTATGGATTGAACCTAACAAATACTGCAGAATGGGATAATAGAGATCGAATGAAGCAGAATGAGGAAAAGTGATCCCTATGTCCTCCAGCATTCTAAGCCTATAGCAGCATTAACTATAGCACTGTAACTCTAAGCTTTGTCAAATCTAAAAGTTTTAAAAGTAGACAGATGTCTGCCTTAAGGACACCAGCAGTGTTATGGGAAATGGATGGATTCAATTTAAATGAAAGCTCACATTTCAGCACTTGTTTTGCTTCTCTGGTTTTCATCTGAAAGTATTGGTTATAGTTGGTTACCACACTCTAAATGAGGTGGAGGTATTCTGTATTTATGGTAACTACAGTACTGTAACATATTGACCTTATTAGTGAAGTCGGTTTCATTCCCCGAATGCTGCAGGAAACAAATAATCTCTGATCACTGAAGAAATCTGCACTTCTTTGCAGATACTTCAACCTTTTCCTAAAAACCTTGGTCCACTTTATAATAAGACTGAGCGATAAACTTGTTGTTGTGCTGCCCTAAGGCAGAATGTATCACTGATTAACATATCTGATGTTTCTTTTTTATTTTTTAGCCTGTCTCAGTACACATCTCCTGTTGGCAACACCAAGGTAAGACCCGCTGTATAAAACTACCATCATGCATACAGAGGGATTTTTATTCCATTATTGTTGCAAGCAGAGAAAAATGTTTTGTAAATGAAAATTAGAAAAGGAATGTAATCCAGAAATGAAACTTTTAACGTTTTCATCGTCAAAAAAGCTTTCAAGAGTAGCTTTAAACCTCCTTAGGTTTTATAAAAAAAGGAAAAGGTTTGTATTGTTTTAGGGACATCCTGTTTTGCGTCTTTATATTAGGATATTTTGTTTTTATGTTTATGCATTTAGCAGATGCTTTAATCCAAAGTGACTTATAAAGTAAACACAATGTTACAATGAGGTAGGCATTAGGGGAAATGATCTTGCTTAAGAACCCAGACCAGTTGGACGTGCCTTGGTGGCGCTGTGGTTAGCGCACACGAGCCCTTATAGCCCTTTTGGTCCTTGACACGCATGTCTCTCCCCCCTCTCATACCCCCTTTCCTGTCAGCTGACTGTCCATAAAACAGGCCACTAGTGCTGTAACCCCCCCCCCCCAAAAAAAAACCCAGAGCAGAGCAAACAGAGGTGACTTACCTCTAAAGCTAGGCAGCTGTTTCTGTTTGCTGTACTTTTTGAATTTTGATGCACATTCGCACATTTGCAGGGTATTTACATTCCCCTCGGCCTTCAAAGTTTTTCAGCAACCTACGCCGTCCATCTGATCAACATGCTTAATATTTATGCAACCATTACAGGAATTTCTTAATACTTACAATACCACAGCATTTTTTTTTATATATAAAAATGCCGAGTGACTTTAGGCTCAATACTTAATGCGAAACAAGAACATTTTTCTGGCCGTTCTGATTTATTCAGTTGCCAAAATCTTCCAGCTAGTCATATTTTCTTGATTTTTAGGTTTAACTCTTAAATCACACCAGTTATTTGTTGTTCTGACTATTTTATGGAATCACAAAACGACAGCGCTGAACCATCACTGCACCCCAAATTTCAAATTCCCTTGACTGTCGCCATATTGGATCCCAGCAGAGGTGGGGACTTGAGTTTGTGACTCGTACTCAAGTCGCACTTAAGTCACATATTTAATGACTTCAGACTCGACTTAGACTTGCATTTGAAGGACTTCAGACTCGTCTGAGATTTGCAATTTCCGACTTGTGAACAATAAATATTTTTTTAAGCGTTTTTTGATTTATTAACTTGACTGATCGCCGCTCGCCTTACAGCAGAGGTATAAAAAAAAAAGGGCTGTCAAACAGTCATGTAGCACTGACGTAGCTGATCAGTTTAAGATAATGATCATTCCATAGATTTAATAGTGACTCTTAAGCTACACCGTCTCAGTGAAGGAGATGAAAACACAAGGAGAAACAAGCAAGCACGCAAATAGACTTGAGACTTGACTTGGACTTGAGCTCTCAAGACTTCAGACTTGACTTGGACTTGCAAAAAATGACTTGTGAACATGTCTGGATCCCAGGCAAAGCTTGTTTATCGTTGTGCCCAGTACTTACCTCCTCTTTCCCTTAAATTTGATGTTTTTTTTATCCAATGCAGCCATTTTCTGTAAAAGTCTACTTTGGTGATGGGAGGCATCCTGTTCTGATTTGCCTTGATTTGTCCTTTTGGGTTTTATAAATATAAGAAAAAGGCAAACTGTTTTAGGAAGTAATAGAAAATAATAAGGCTCCTGGTATGGAACAGTTCCAGTCACACTTTATTGCAGTTTTGGCTCAGACATAAAAGAAGAAAAGCAGGCAGAGTGACAGAAGTGTTTAATTTTTTATCAAATATCCTTTCAGGACAGGCGGTTTAATGAAAAAAACAAATGAAAAAAGTTAGTGCACCCCGTCCTGACATGTCCTGTAAACCACACCAGTGATAGAGAAAGTTGCACAAAGTGATATAAAATCAGAAATAACAACATAAAAGAGTGACAGACAGTAGAGTTGATGTGGTTTGTGTTTTTTTCCCTCTCTTGCAGAATATGCAGTGTGAAATCATTGAGCTTAGCAACAGTCTGGACCTGATGGTTACACGCAACAGGAAGACCATGAAGGGCGTCGCTAACCTGGTGCTCGCTCTCAACAAGCTGAGCAAGTTCAAGTTTGACAGAGACCTCAGCAATGCTCAGCTCTGCAACACTATCATGGACTGTGTGATGGAAGGTTGGTAGTAAAACACAACTGCACTGTCTTGGTCATTCTAGTTGCATTTTATTAGTTTATTTGAAAACTTTTTCAATAAATAATTACCAAAAATAAAGGTCCTGGTATTTCTGATGAAAAATTTTGCTTGGGTCCCTCTGCAGGCTTATGGAGTGCATTTTGATCCATTATTTTTGCAAGCAAAGAGCACATTTTGTAAATACCGTAGATATTTTAAAAACATGCAATACCTGAACGGAACTTTTAAAACTAAAGATTTTTGAATACCTAAGCTATTTTCTCAGATTTCATTTTTCCAATTTGTCTTATTCAAATTTCTATTTTTCAGATTTAGATGATCAAATTGCATTCTACAGATCACATTTTTTTTTTTTTTTTTTTCTTGGGGTGGGCTTTTCTCGTGAGTAAGGAATAAAGCTGCTATTCTATTGGTCTGGATGGACGTTAGCTACATTTTTATTGGTCAGAGCGAGTATTTGTGTATTCTCTTTAAGTGAAGAGAATATGATCTGTCAAAGCTATTTAGAAAATATTACAGTTCCTAAAAATGCTATATAAAAATATAGAAATTACATGTGAAAATAAAAAAAAAATGGAAAAAAACATTTTGGATAAAAAATTATAAAAAGAAAAAAAGAAATTCTCAATTGCATGTCTTTTAAATTTTTTTTTTTTTTACAAAGTATTTGCTTTGCTTCCAACAATAATGGAGTAAAGTTCACTCCATACCGGCTTTTTTTATAAACTGAATTTCAACAGAATGTTGTTATTTTGATTTCTTTCTACAGAATTAAATACCTCTGCATTAAATAAAGAATGACCTGTCAATTAACCCTCCTCCCTGATACAACGGAGTATTAGGGCCAGGCTAGAAAAGTCATAACATTACGAGAATAAAGTCGTAATATTACGAGAATAAAGTCATCATACCACAACCCGTTTCATAAAGAAAGCTTCGACCTCCGACCAGCAGATGACGGCCGAACAGCTCCACCAATCAGCAACCTGAGTCCACTTTGACATCCTGTACAATTTGATGCTGCTGCTAAAAGATTTCCTTATTTATCAAACCAGAGCCAAAGTATAACTTCACATGATGCTCCACATTCCTCATTTTAGGGAAGAAATTGCTTCTTTTAGGAGTTGTCATAAAATACATCTTGTTTCTCGTAATTTTATGACTTTATTCTCATAATTTTACGACTTTATTCTCTAAATAGAAGAAAAAAAAACTCTCTAGCCTGGCCCTAATACTCCGTCGTACCCCGGAGTAGTTCTGTTTACAAAAAAAATTCTGATGTGTTGCCTTTAGAATTTCTGACCCAATAATAACTTCTTAACATCCTGCTTTTAAATGTGACTAATAGTTCTCCATCTCTTTCTCTCTACAGAAATAGTAGTTGAGAAAGGCAGCAGCTTCTGCACAGAAGAGAAAAACTTCAACTATTCTAGGCTTGTGAAACATGTAGAGCTAAGTGACGAATACAAGAAAGATCTCATTCAGAATTCAGAAGAGTTCAGGCTGCAGGCCATCACCCTGAAAGGCGGATACTGTGATCTTAAAGGTAAAAAAAAAAAACTTTTTATTGAATACTTCGATTTCAAACAACTTTTCTTTTAGCTTTAGGTTAGTCCGACCAAAAGAGTCCAAAGGAGAACATTTGATATGGAAAAAAAAACAACTTTTTATGGATAAAACAAACAACCCTCCTGCTAAGCATGGTGGTGGCAGTATTATTCTCTGGGGATTTCTATGTAGCAGGTGCTTTTTCCACACCATTTTTTAGAGAACGTGTCAAATGGAAATCGAACAGGAAAAAGACCCCAAAGCATGAAGAAAACTTAACAAAGTTGTGGTTTGAAGGGCCGTCTGTGAATGTCCTTGACTTTAATAAAATTCAACATCTTTATTCAGCGCTAAAATTTGAAGCCTAGCAATGCAATACAAATGTTCTCAGCTTTAAATTAAATCAAATTCGGTTATTTTTATAGCACCAATTCATGAATTGTCATCCACTGCCTCTGTACAAAACAATTTAATCAGATCGACTCAAAGTTTTCTAAAAATAACCTGCTGATTGCATCCAGTCTTTGACTTTGCAGGATTTGCTGCTCCTTGATAACCATGTGGAGACAGTAGTAGTTGTAGTTTTGTATTGTGCCTTCAACTCTTTAGCAATCCATCACACTGAGCATGCATGCAGCAACAGTGGAGAGGAAAAACTAGTCTTAGCGGGCTTCTGCTGAGGCTGACTGGGGTTGGAGGAGACAGAAAAAGACTCATATCTTGGCTGAGCTTTCTGGCTCTCTTTGTGTTCTCCGGTCTTTGGTTCCCATCCTACTGCCTTGATGTCTTGTCTCTCTTGTGTTCCTCTCACCTCATATTTCCATGTTGTCTATTTGTACTGTTATGTTTTATTTCCATTTCACACATTCTTCCCTGTCTCTATGTCCTTCTCTCTCCCATTAGTTCTTATCCCTTCTTTCTTTCTCACCTCCCTTTCCGTCTCCGTGTTCGTTGTATTCACTTTTACTCTCAAATAATTTTCAATAAAGTTCCTTAAACAAGTGCCAGCACAACCGTATGGCAACAGTCTTAGTGGTGTGCTTATGAAAGCAAATCTAATGGGCTATAAACTAACAATATTAGCAAAACAGGACACAAATAACAAATGGAACGTAAAAGCATTGATCTATAAATATTTTTATGTTTGTAAAGGTGGCCATAAACTAGCTCCACAGAAGGCTCTGTCTGGCGAAGAAAAAAATACACAGATGAGCTCTGAGCTAGTTTTCATGTCAAAGGGATGAAAGAAAATGCATACAGATACTTACAGTAAAAGCAGAGCCCACAGCTATCTCCAGGAGATAAACGGGACTAATCAGTGAAAAACAGGCTCAACTTATCTCTGATTAAAGGGTTTGATGTCAGCAGCCCAGCTGATATCTAACAACAGGATGATGTCACAGGCAAACAGAACCAGACCAGATGAAGCTGTTATGAAGAGGGAGAGCAGACAGAACATAACGGTATGGTTAAACTTACAAATACTGCAGAATAGGAGTAGAATGAAGGAAAATGAGGAAAAGTGGTCACTCTGTCCTCCGACAGTCTAAGCCTATAGTAGCATAAAGAAATAGAATTAACTCAGGATGACCTGAGCCACTCTAAATATTTTAATACTTTTCATTTCTGATTTTTTTTTATTACCATTTTATTCTCTTTTTTCCAAAAGTATATGGAAAATTAACCATAACAATTATCTATAGAACAATGCTCTTGTTTTTTGTTTTTTTTGCAGAAATAATATCATCAAAATAACAGTGCCACAAACCATAAAACTTCTAAATATATATATCATGATTTTTCTCCATAATTATATACAAATACAACGTTTTTAAAATGAAATTGAATCACAATCTTAAAATTATTTAAAGTGACATTTGTAATAATGTATTCTATACATTTAATGGTATATTTATGTAATTCTTGATTCTCTAAAATATACTATCTGCATATTTCATGGTACATTTGTGTATTTTATAATACATTTTGGCTCCTCATATACCTCAGAAATCATATCACAATGATTGTGAAAATCATATGGCTATCCCCAATTGACTGTTTCAACAAAGCACCCAAACCCCTACTTTGAGAACCCCTAATCTAAAATAAAAATGAACTTTTTATTAATTATTATTATATTTTCAATATGAAATATGGCAATTTGTTTGTTTTTTCCCCCCACATTTTGTAAATACTAAAAGTGAAAGTGCCTGAACTAAACCTCGTCTTTGTTTTCTTCTCCTCAGTGAATTTTGAAATGTCCTGCTACAGACCTGCAACCTGCTACCCCAACACGGGTTTTACGGTCCACCTATCAATCAGGTCTGACTCCAAGAAGTTGCATTTGTGTTGCTCTAAACCAGATGATAAAGTGTTGCTGTTTCTGAAGGTAAACACCAGATCCTAAACATCCACAGCTTTACTACTGTATAATCACAAAATTCCTTCTATGCAAAAATCATTTTTGTTTCCAACTTAATTTAAATGTTTGTTTTTTTATGTGGCTGCTTTTATTTGCTTAACATTTCTTTTTTCAATGATTTAGAGGATTTTTGACTAAAACCCAACAGGAACTCTTGACCCACATAAGAATTTCCCCTTATTGCTTATACCCACTAACACTTATATATTACATATTTTTGTGTAGGAGGTACTCTGGTGTTAAAACATCAGTTCCCTACTCCTAGTGGAGGCCCAGTGTAATTGCAGGCGGCCATGGTTGAAATTAATTGAATAAATGACCTAAATTTGCAAAGTTTTTTCAAAATATATTTGTTATATAAAATGAAATAAATGGTTAAACTGAAAGTAATATCAACATTGTAGAACATCCTATCTGCATTGATAGAGAATCTGTAGTTAGATAAAGAATAGGTTGATGGTGTGGAGCTTTGGAGCTCATCACCAAAGATTAAACAACAAAAGACCCAAGGAAACATCCAGAAAGCTGGTCTGCAGTTATAGGAAGATTAGAGGGAAGAAAAATATTGTTTTGATAAATATTAGGTGTTTTATCATCTTTTAAAAATCTCCTATTTTCTTTTATAGAGTTAAATTTGTCCCATTATTGTTACACCAAAAAAAAAAAAGTAGAAAAAAAACAACAACCAAAAAACTTTTATAAATGGATATTAAAAATAAATAAAAACTCTAAAAGCAGTGTTAATCCAAAAAATATTTTGAGTAACTTTGCTGTTTTCCTCAGATTTTATTTTTTCTAATGTTTTTTTTTTTGTTTTTTTGTTTTTTTGTTTCAGATTTTATATATTTTTGATTTTTAAGATTAAGTTTTATTAACAGCATACTTTTCAAATTGCGTTTTAAAGATCATATTCTCTCCACTTAAGCCCTAATACGAGTGCTCGCTCTTCACTGCAATTAGTAAAATTCCATATAAAAAAAATATAAACATAGAAAATAAAAGTTACAAAAATAAAATTTGATGAAAACAAATGATTTGAAAAAATTGAATCTTAGAAAACAGTTAAGATACTTTTCAAATATTTTCTCAATGAGAAAGCTTTTCAGAGTTTCGCATTTCATGTTTTTTTTTTTTCAAATTTCCATGTAGACAACATGTCTTTTGGTTTCAAAAATACTGGCACAAAATTCATTCCATACTTCTTTTCTCGAAGAAAAAAACAATGCTTTGTGAGGACAGCTTTATTCTAACTCTAAATCTGTCAAGTATGAAAAGTTTTGAGCGAAATTGTTAATACCAACAAAATACCTAAAAATCAGAGTGATTATTTTTGTCAGCCTGCTCATGTGTTTTAGTTAAACATTTTAACTAAACAATCACCATTAGGAGTGATTATAAATGTGTAATCTATTCTTAGTATTGTCTATAGAAACATTCTAATTTCTTTGCTTCTGTGTCTGTTAGGATTGCAGTGACAAGTGTTTGAGCCCAGATGAACAAATGCATGACTCCCTTTTCAACAAGTCCATGGTGTGTCGAGATATGGCCACCTTCGAGTCAGTGAAGTACCCAGGCTGGTTCATCAGCACTGCCTTTGAAGAACGGGATGACTCGGTAGAGATGTGCCAGGCAGACACTGCCTTTCGTGTCACCTCCTTCAATTTTCGTTTTAAAGACTGATTTTGGATTAATGCTCAGTGGCTCAGTGTGTAGCACTGCCGCCTTGCAGCAAGAAATTCTGGGTTCGATTACCAGCCCAGAGTTTGCATGTTCTCCCTGAGCGTCCATGGGTTCTTTCTGGGTACTCTGGCTTCCTCCCACAGTCTTAAAACATGACTGTTAGGTTAATTGGCTTCTCTAAATTGTATGGATGGATGGATGGATGATTTAGAATGAATCTGTACTTCACCACTAGATGGAGCAATATATTCCTTTTTACCTGTAGGTTGCAGTTTTTAGCAGCCAAAAAAAAAAGTTAATGAAAAAAAAATAACTTTCCTTCTGGAAAAATTAGGAATACTTTTTTTTCTTTTTCGTTTTAGTATTCTCTTTTTCTTCTGGAAATCATGTAAAAGGATATTCCTTAAATCATTATTGTAATGGTCTTTTTGCCGGTAGTCTTACTTTTTGTAAATATTTTTTTCATTATTTGAGTTTTATTAAAGCTAAAATAATAATAATCTAAAGGATTTGTTTATTTTTATAAATGTTACCTTATTTTGTTTTTTTGTGTTAATCTATATAAAATGCATCTTTGACCTTTAATCCAAAGGATCAGTTATTATCAGAACTATAAGCTACTTAGGAGAAAGACGACCATTCTGGATCCTTCAGAGATGATGGTGTTGAAACAGAGGAAAGAGGCAAAAAGCGATGATGTTGTAGAAGTCCACAGATGTTCTCTGAAGAGGCCTTCAACTCTATTTTTTATTTCTGTTTTTTCTGCTTCCTTGTCTTGGTTGTGCTTTACAGGAGAAACATGTACTAGAAGAGCTAGTTTGCTTTGAATGTTCTGCTTCCCTAAAAGTTATAATCTGTAAATAAATAAATCTTTGTTACTGTTGGATCATGTCATTTAATTTTTGTAATAATATAATAAAAAGTCATGATTTTGATGTTGAGTTTTGCTTTTCAATTCAGTTTCTAATAATTATTTTTCTTTTTTCTGGAATAAAATATAACAGTACTACTATAGGCTAAGTATAATAGTGGTGCTAAAATGAATAAAAAGGTCAGTGATTGACCCAGAAGGGCTGGTTTTATAAAGTCTTGGTGCCACAACTGAGGAGGCGCAGTCACCCCAAAGTTTATATTTAGTTCTAGGAACATTCAAGAAGAACTGAGACCATGACCTCAGACGGACATGTGATCAGACAGACTCCTAGTGGTGCTCAATAACCTGCCATTTAAACCTGGATAGGAGGCATACCTTTTCTGCTGGAGCTAAATGTTATTATAATCATCTATATTTCATAACATAAATGCCATCTTAACAATGTTTTGATCTTTAAAGGGTATTCATTTGAGTTCTTGTGAAAAGTCAGTGCCAAGTGTCAGGTCAGGCTGCTAAAGCCTTGATCTGAAACATATGTCATGTCAGGGTTTGTGGATTCAGTTCACAATTAACCAAAGCTTTTAATGAAATGTTGGAAATAATAAACAAAAACAAAATATTTTATAATTAAAGCATCCAAGCCAAAATGCTGTTCAGTGGCTGTGTGTTTCCTGGACCGGGCCGCCTTTTACAGCTGCTTTTTGTATCTCTGCTTCTGTCTCCTTGAACCCAAGTCGGCCTCGACAGATGGCCGCTCACACTGAGCCTGGTTCTGCTGGAGGTTTCTTCCTGTTAAAAGGGAGTTTTTCCTCTCCACTGTCGCTACAAGCATGCTCAGTGTGAGGGATTGTATTCAAGTCAATGAGTCGATGCAATCAACTGGTTTTCCTTAGATAGAAAACTTTGAATCAATCTGACTGGATGATCTGGTGAACTGTAAAGTGCCTTGAGATGACATGTGTTGTGATTGGCGCTACATAAATAAACTGAATTGAATTGAATGGAGGAAACATTACCTTTAGTCGAGGTGTATTTTTTTTCATGCAAGCATTTACACTTCAATATTTAAGTTATAAACATTATAAACTAAGGCAATTAAAATGGTGATTTTAATGTGCTATGGTAGAAAGCAGTAAGCAAAAAAAGTATGACTGAACGGTAAAATACTACCTAACTCTATTTAATTTAATTAGCACGTGTGAAATTGCATATGTATCTTTATATATACAAAAATTATTTTAATTGCTCACTTATGAATTTTTGGCCTAGCATCAACTCCTAATTTAAGGGAATCGGAAAGACTGTTGATATTAAAGTTTGTAGGAGGGAGAAGAGGTATAAATAAAGTTTACTTAAGCACTTAGTTATACATATCATTTGATAATTAATGTATGTAATTATATGTAATGCTTGTATGTGTTAAATTTGCAATTTACTGTATTGTCTAAAAGGAAAATAATTTGTTAGTTTATTCATGCATTAGTATTTTAATTATCAGGCTCCCCTGCTGTGCAACAACCTAGCAGTTTTAGCCCCCTAAAAAATAGACACCATGCTAGGCTTAAAACTTTCCTTTTTGGCAAAGCTTATAGTTAGACTGGCTCAAGTTATTCTAAACTATCGCTACAGTTATGCTAGACTCCAGGAGTTTAGACTGCTGAATGAAAGAGCATGATTTAGAGATAAAACTAACGAATACTGCAGAATGAGAGAACAGAGATAGAATGAAGCAGAATGAAGCTAAAAAAAAGTGGTCCTTATGTCCTCCAGCAGTCTAAACCTATAGCAGCATAACTGTCCAGATGCAGTGCAAACTATGTTTGACAGCTACTATCATGTCAGCTCATAAAACTTCAGTGATTATTCTAAAAACATATCGCGGTAATATGTTTTACAACTCTACTTAAATAATATTGCATTAATACGGCGTTAATAAATTATTAATTAAATATTTAGTTCTCAGATTTACCCAAATTTATGACTGTTGGACATGGAATTGAATTAAAGTTTTTTTTGGTGCAATTTTTCTTTACCTTTTTCATTTAAGAAATGTGCTTTGAACATATATAAATACGAGTGACTTGAATACAATACAAGCCATTGATGATGCAATAAATCATCCATCAGTTAAAAAGTAATTAGTACTCTGAGTAGTTTTTTGAGAAGAGTACTATGCACTTTTACTTGAGTATTTTCTAACTCCAGCACTTTTACTTGTAATTGAGTATAATACTTTTACCTGATTACAAATTTTCTGTACTCTTTTTCACCTTTGTCCATTTTATGTTTGGAAGTAAAAGCCCAATACACATGAAAGGGAAAAGTGACATTATTTATACCAGTAAGATTTATATTAAAGATATATGAAATATTGATTGCAAAAAAAGAAGAAAGTTAATTTAGATAATGTTCATTTTGACTGGAAGAGGTTTTTTTTTTTTTTTTTTTTTTTTTTTTTTAAGAAATCTGAAAAAAATATTCAATCCGGCTATTAAATGATAAAATTACCTGCCATAATCTGTGGCCTTTTTTCTCCTCTTCCATGCATGCACACAACACTTGTCATTTCAACTTGTTGCTAGAGGTGGCATACCTCTAGAATTTTCACTTTGCACCTTTAAGCTCACAAGAATTTCAATATTAGCCTGCATGAATAACAAATGTTTTTCTTTGGAACTTTGGAACAGGAGCTACAGTAAAACACAATCATGTTAACTCTGGTACAATAGTAGTATGTTTAACCATAAATAGAACGGGACAGGAACATCTGAATGCACTGGCCATGCTTTCCATGGAGAAAGCCCTTGTCAAAAGGATGCCAGACTTTAAAGGGAGGGTTAATGAAATTACTGAAATATCAGTACAAGTGGTGTCTGTCATTAAATGTTGAGTTGTCTCATGGTGCACTCTCCAAATGTTGAGCTGTAAATAGTTGAGTGCATATTTTCTGCTGTGTACAGTATACACTGCAAATGCAGTGTATACTGCATATGTTCTGGATATTTTTTATTATTACAGTTTTAGTATGATCTAATTTGATTATTTCTATGACATCCCTAAAAGCTATATATTGCAGATTGGTCTAACAGTGATTTCTTGAGCAAATTAATTTTATTTAAGAATTTGTTAGCTGTACAATAATAATGTAGAGTGTGATCAAGGCATCTGTTGTGTTGCCATCTAGTGGTTGAGAAAGAAACCAAAGGAAATGTTGCATTTTTATTTTTGATCTGTCATTTAAATCCGGTATCAAAGAGGTATCTAGAATTTCCTTCTTTCATTGTTCATCCTGTCCAGGATGCTCAGAAACTAGTCCATGCATTTGTTACTTCAAGGCTGGACTATTGTAATTATTTACTATCAGGAAGTCCAAAAACTGTAGTTAAAAGCCTTCAGTTGATCCAAAATGCTGCAGCCAGAGTTCTGATGAAAATTAGAAAGAGAGATCATATCTCGCCTATCCTGGCTTCTCTTCATTGGCTTCCTGTTAAATCCAGAATAGAATTTAAAATCCTCCTTCTCACATATAAAGCATTAAATGGCCAAGCTCCATCTGATATCAGAGATCTGATTGTTCCTTATGCTTTCAATCTGCAGGTTTACTAGTGGTTCCTAGAATTTCTAAAAGTAGAATGGGAGGCAGATCTTTTAGTTATCAGGCTCCTCTCCTGTATCCAAGCCAAAATGCTGTTCAATGGCTGTTTGTTTCCTGGATGGGGCCGCCTTTTACAGCTGCTTTTTGTGTCTCTGCTTCTGTCTCCTTGAACCCCAGTCGGCCTCAGCAGATGGCCGCTCACACTGAGGCTGGTTCTGCTGGAGGTTTCTTCCTGTTAAAAGAGAGTTTTTCCTCTCCACTGTCGCTACAAGCATGCTTAGTGTGAGGGATTGCTGAAGAGTCAATGAGTCGATGCAATCAGCTGGTTTTCCTTAGATAGAAAACTTTGAATCAATTTGACTGTATGATCTGGTTGAACTGTAAAGTGCTTTTAGATGACGTGTTGTGAATTTGTGCTATAGAAATAAACTGAATTGAATTGAATTGCATTTAATTGCAACACTGCAGAGTTTGACATTTGACTTTCATTTTATCAATATTTGACCAATTGAACTGGTCATTTTACCCTCACTATAACATTTGCCTACAGCTGGGAAATTATTCAAGATCCGCCACTGCTAAATAATACATTTTTAATAACTTTGATTAGATGTTCTGATTGAATTGTCTCTGTAAAGTTCCTGGAGTTTTCACCTGTTGTTTGTGAAGTTGAGGAGGAAGCTGAGACTCTTGCAAGAGAATGTTCAAATTTATTTAATCTAATGCGCTTAAGTCTAAAGGTGTAGAAAGACATGCAGCTTCTGTTTTTGTTCAATTGAAGACTGTTGAGTGATGAATGGCAGACACAGACAAAAATAGCATTACAGTAATTCATTCTTTAACCATTAAAAGCATGTAAAGCCTTCTTTAAAAAAAAAAAAAGATTTAACTTTAAGCCAAAACACAAACATGGTAGAATCCTGGATTAACTGCTGAATCAACCTGTTTGTTGAATTTAAACCCCCTTAAAAATCACTGCATTAGTTTTTTGGCATAGTCACTGACATTCCCACAAGCTGAACGTTACTTTAGTTTTTTTTCTAATTAAAACTGGAGATTTTAGTTTAGCCACTGTTTAACAGCGGAGGTATAATTGGGAAGGGAATGCTGAATTTGACTGTTAACTGGTTTTAGGCAAGGCAAGGCAAGGCAAATGTATTTGTATAGCACAATTCAGTACAAAGACAATGCAAAGTGCTTTACATGATTAAAATATAGGAAAATAAAGCAGAATCAAAGCAAGTAGGAAAAGAATATATAAATAAAATAAAAAAAATGCAAAAACAAAAGAGAATATTAAAAACAGTTGGACTAAAGAAAATAATTTAGTCTTAATTGAAATAAGTAAATCAGAAAGTTATCTGCATAGCAATAGAAAGACATTTAGCTAAATCCAGTTTATTGATATAGCGCCATTTAACACATGTAATATCAAGGCAATTAACAGACACAATT